CCGCCTTCTCCAAATTCTGTCCCCAGAGTCTAGCATAGTACCTGTCCTGCTGAAAAGGCTCAATAAACATTTGATGAATGAATGCAGGGGAGGGAGGGAAAAGAAAACCAGTGATTATACCCTTCCAAGGCAGGGCCACGAATGTTTGTGAGACCTCTCTTCCTCCCCTACAGAAAAAAAAAAGCCACTATTTAGCAGGTATAAGGAATATGGCCCACTTTGTAGAAATGAAGAAACTAAGTAATAAAAATGAAAAGTAATTTTCACTAATTATGTTAGCCACATTTCATTTTAAGTGATAATATCCTTGCCAACAAGGATATGTTAAGACTGACACTCTCAGCCAGGCTGGTAGAGGTGAACAGTGGCACAATCTTTCAAGAAACTATTTGGTAATATGTAACAAGAACATTAAAACTATATCCTTTACTCTAGTAATCTCACTTTAGGTGATTAGCCAAGAAAATAACCTAAAAGGAAAGTCAAGATAGTCACTGAAGTTATTCTTTATATTAACTAAAAAAGGAGAAGTTACCTTAGTAGAGAAACAACTGAATAAATCATAGCATGCTTGCATGACAAAGATGTTAAAAAAAGATAATTATGGCACTATGCAGCCATATAGAATGTAATCATATTAAGTAAAAAACGTAAGGAGGTGCCTGGGTGGCTCAGTCAGTTAAGTGACTGCCTTCGGCTCAGGTGACGATCTCCAGGTCCTGAAATTGAGCCCCACATCAGGTTCCCTCCTCAGCAGGGAGTCTGCTTCTCTCTTTCTCTCTCTCCCTCTGCTCTTCCTCCCTGCTTGTTCTCTCTCTCTCTCAAGGAAATAAATAAAATCTTTAAAAAAGTAATATTAAAGTGTATTTTTGTTATATCATGTTCAAAGTATGATGCAGATAAAACGTAGAAGGGTATATACTGACAGAAAAAAAAACAAACCATGGTTTGTAGAAGTGAGATTTTTAGCATGTTTGTTCCTATTTTTCAATTTTTTATGTTATATTTTTCATAAACATTTAAAAATTCTCAGGATTAAGCCAAATTTATAGCTCAGTAGAAAATAATCTGCTTTTCCTGATCTCTCTTCAGCGTTCTATGCATGTGTAGGAAAAAGGGCCAGTACTTAGCATAGTCAAGTCCAAGATACAGCTAGAAGGCAACAGAACCAGAATTTGAACTTTCTCTTCTCACTACTGACAATTTTATTGGTCAATTACTGAGTACTAGGATCAGGAATATAAAGATGATACTGATCTCTATGTAGAATTCTGTAAAATGTTCATGTCTCAGACTTTAAGTACAGAAGGTGCAGGAAAAGAAGAGGGGGAGAACCTAGGTTGAAAAATCAATAGCAGACCAACTTAACATTTGCTTCTGGCCAAAATGAGTAAAAAGGGACTGAATTTGCCCTCCTACCTGAAATAACTAAGAAAAACAAAGAAACAAAAATACATGAAAAATGACTTTTAAGAAACTTTATGTCAGACAACAAAAAAACAGTGATGCCTGAGAGATGGGAAACAAATAATCTGAGTCTTTCCATCACCTCAGCTCAGTGCTTTGAGTTTCCAGACCATTCCAGACAAGGAAGGGGAACTGTGGGAGAGTACCCCATAGAAGGAACTCTCCCTGAGAGTACAGGGACACCAAAATAGACAGAGTTCATAGGACCAAGGACCAGAAAAGAGAGAACTGAACAGACAGAATGTGCAGAGGGTCCCCTCAAATGTTGAACACAGCACTGACTGATGCATACATGTAAGAAAACTACTCAAGGCTGGTAAAAAGTACCATCCAACAGGATGAGAGGAAACAGTGCTCAGCATTCTCACAGGACCAGGAACAGGGACTGTTCCCACCAGCTAGAGGAAAACCTGATAGTTCATCAGGCATTGGATAGAGTATTTAGGAAAGTCTTATCTCAGTAAGGGAGAATACTTCATTCTAGACTGAATACTGCTCCAGACCTGCCTAAAAATACCAAAAAATAAAACACCAAAGGATCAAATGGTTTTCAAGTAATTTAACTGTGTTCCAGGACCAAGCTCAAGAATATTTATAGGAATACAAAAAATAATCCGACATCCAACAAGAGAACATTAATAATGCCTGACATCCAAGCAGAGATTACCAGGCATGCAAAGAGGCAAGAAAACACAGCTAATACTGAGGAGACTAATTAACCAAACCAACCAAGAACTGACACAGATGTTAGAATTAGCAGAGAAGGACATCAAAACAGTTATTATGACTATATCTCATATGTTCAAAAAGTTAAGGAGACATGTAAGATATAAAAAGGATCCAGGGACACCTGGCTGGCTCAGTTGGAAGAACATGCAACTCTTGATCTTGGGATTGTGAGTTTGAGCCCCACATTTGGTGTAGAGATTATTTAAAAATAAATAAGTAGGGCACCTGAGTGGCTCAGATGGTTAAGCGTCTGCCTTCGGCTCAGGTCATGATCTCAGGGTCCTGGGATCGAGTCCCGCATCGGGCTTCCTGCTCCTTGGGAGCCTGCTTCTCCCTCTGCCTCTCTCTCTCTCTCTCTCTCTCTCTGTCTCTCATGAATAAATAAATAAAATTAAAAATAAATAAGTAATAAAAAAATAAAAATAGGATCAATTAAAAAAAAAGATCCAAATCAAACTTCTAGAGATGAAAAGTACAGTGTTTGTAATGAAAAATACACTGATTGGGATTAACAATTGATTAGTCATTGCAGAAGAAAAGATTAGTAGCTTGAAGGCATAATAATAGAAACTACAATGAAGCATGGGAAGGAAAAAAATAAAAAGAGCATCAGTGAGCTGTGGGACAACTACAGCCAACCTAATATACTGATAAGTGGAGTGCCTGAAGAGGTGGGGGTGTGGGAGACAAAAAATATTTGAAGAAATAATGGCCAAAACTTTCCAAACTTGATGAAAATTATAAACCTACTGCTTCTCCCTCTCCCACTCCCCCTGCTTGTGTTCCCTCTCTTGCTGTCTCTCTCTGTCAAATAAATAATTAAAATCTTTAAAATAAAAAAAAAAAGCTTGAGTGGCTAATATATACAATACAGTGGTCCAACAGGTTTATACATTATGCTATGTTCACCACAAGTGTAGCTACCATTTGTCCTAATACATTGCTATTATAGTATTATTGACTATATTCTTTATGCTGTACCTTTTATTCCCATGACTTATTCATTCCATAACTAGAAGCCTCCTCTTCACCCAGTTTGCCCAGCCCTCCATCACCTCCTCTGGCAATCATCAGTCTGTCTTCTGTATTTATAGGTCTGATTCTACTTTGTTTACTCATTTGTTTTTGTTGTTGTTTTTCAGATTCCACTTATGAGTGAAATCATATAGTATTTGTCTTTGTCAGTCAGTCTTATTTCACTTAGCATAATACCCTCTAGGTCCATCCACGTTGTCTCAAATGGCATGATATCATTGGTTTTATGGCTGCATAATATTCCGTTGTGTATTCATACACACACACACACACACGCACACACACACTACATCTTCCTTATCCATTCATCTATGGATGGACACTTGGGTTGCTTCCGTATCTTGGCTATTGTAAATAAACCTGCAGTAAACAGAGGGGTACATATATCTTTTAAAATTAGTGTTTTTATTTTCTTTGAGAAAATACCCAGTAGTGGAATTACTGGCTCATATGGTTGGTATTTCTAATTTTAATTTTTTGAAGAACCTTCATACTGTTTTCCACAGTGGCTGCACCAATTTACATTCCTACCAACAGTGAATGTGAGGGTTTCTTTTTTTGCACATCCTCACCAACACTTGTCTTTTTTATTTTAGCCATGCTGAAAGGTCTAGTTGTGGTTTTGATTTGCATTTCCCTGGTGATTAGTGATGTTGAACATCTTTTCATGTGTCTGTTGGCCATCTCTATGTTTTCTCTGGAAAAATGTCTATTTGGGTACTCTGTCCATTTTTTAAATTGGATTGTTTGTTTTTTTGGTGTTGAGTTGTATGAGTTCTTTATATATTTTGGAGATTAGCCCCTTATTGGATATATTATTTGCAAATATCTTCTCCTATTTAGTAGATTGTCCTTTTGTTTTGTTGAGGGTTTCCTTTGTTGTGCAAAAGCTCATAAAACAAGTCTTAATACATTTGAAAGGATTCAAATAATACAAAGTATGTTCTTTACCTAAAATGTAATTATATTAGAAATCAATAACTGGATGGGTTAGCCTGGTGATGGGTATGAAAGAGGGCACGTACTGCATGGAGCACTGGGTGTTATACGCAAACAATGAATCATGGAACACTACATCAAAAACTAATGATGTAATGTATAGTGATTAACATAATAAAAAATATATAAAAAAAAAAGAAATCAATAACTGAAAGATCTCTGGAAAATCTCCAAATATTTGGAAACTAAATAATACACTTCTAAATAATCCATGGATCAAAAGAGAAACCGGAAAGGAAAATAGCAATATTTTGAACTGAATGGAAATGCAAAAGCAAATAAAATTTTGGGGATTCCATTAAAGCAGTATTTTGAGGGAAATTTATAGCACTAAAACCTACTTTAGAAAACAAGAAGGATCTTGGGGGCACCTGGGTGGCTCAGTCAGTTAAGCGCCTGCCTTCGACTCAGGTCATGATCCTGGGGTCCTGGGATCCAGCCCTGCCTCAGGCTCAGCAGGGAGTCTGCTTCTTCCTCTCCCTTTGACCCTCCCCGCTCCTCGTGCTTTTGCTCACTCAGTGTCTTTCTCAAATGAATAAGTAAAAAATCTTTAAGAAAAAAAAAAAAAGAAGAAAGATCTTGACTCAATGAGCTCAGCTTCCACCTTAAGAAACTAGGAAAAAGAAAGTTAACACCAAAGTAATCAGAAGAAGGGAAATAATAAAGATCAAAGTGGCAATCAGTGAAATTAAAAAAAAAAAACACTTTTCTATATATAAAACCGAAATTAAGTTTTGTACTCGTTAGGATTTACGTCCCCCCCCCCCCATTCCATCCCCACTGAAATTTGGAAGAAAATTTAGTACTTGGCTCTGAGGCTGCCAGTTGTACAATGATCTATTTTGCATATGAAAGTTTGTATTTACCTTTTTTGTTCATTAAAAACTTTCCAGTGGTTACGCATTTTTAATTTCAGAGAGTTTATAGAGTTGGTCAGAGCATATTTTGCAAGATCTAGTGCCTAGTGTTGCTTTCCCGGTGTAATAAATGCTGTCTGGCGGAACCTGAAAAAAAAAAAAAAAGAAAAACAATAGAAAAAAATTAACAAAACTAGAAACTAGTTCTTTGAAAAAGTCAATAAAATTGATAAACCTCTATCCACACTATTAGAAAAAAAAAGAGAAAATCCAAATTACTAGTATTAGGACTGAGAGAGGTGACATCATTATCTATTTGAATGATATTAAAAGGATATTAAAAGGATAATAAGAGAACGTGAGGAACATTTTATACCAAAAAATTTGTGAGCTTAGATGAAATGAACAAATTCCTTGAGAGACAAATTACAAGAACTTAAATAAGAAATAGATAACCGGGGCACCTGGGCGGCTTAGTTGGTTAAGAGTCCAACTCTTGGTTTTGGCTCAGGTCGTGATCTCTTGGGCTGTGAGATGGAGCCCCACCTCAGGTTCCGTGCTCAGTGGGGAGTCTGCTTGAGATTTTCTCCCTCTGCCCTGCTCCCCACTCTCAAATAAATAAGTAAATCTTAAAAATGTATATATATAACCTAAATAGTGCTATGTCTTTTAAATACATTAAAAATGTGGTTAATATCTTCAGTGGTAGATTCCACCAAACATTTAAACAAGAAATAATGCCAATTCTACATGAACTCGTCCAAATAATAGAAGAAAATGGACTACTTTCCTAACTCATTATAGTTGGCATTGCTTTGATGCCAAAATCAAAGACATTATAAGAAAAGTTCAAGCCAATGTCCTCATGAAATAAATTAAAAAAAATTTTTTTTGAGACAGAGAGGGAGTGTGGGAGGAGCAGAGGGAAAGGGAGAGCGAGAATCTTAAAAATGCTCCACGCCCAGCACAGAGCTTAACATGGGGCTCAATCTTATGACTCTTAGAGCATGACCTGAGCCAAAATCAAGAGCCTGATGCTTAACTTATCCATGCAGGCACCCCATAAACAAAAAAATTTCTAAATAGAATTTTAGTATATTAAATCCAATAATATGTTAAAAGGATAATACATCATGACTAAGTGGAGTTTATCCCAGGAATGCTTGGTTGGTTTAACATTTGAATATCAATGTTTCCTATGTTAACAAACTAAAAAATAAAACCATATAATTATCTCAGTAGATGCAGGAAAAAAACATTGATAAAATCCAATATTTATTCCTGATACTCTTAACAAATTAGAAAAAAAAGGGAATTTCCTCAGCCTGATAATGAACATCTACAAAAACCCCACAGCGAGCCTACCTAAGATCAGAACAAGACAGGTATGTCTGCTCTTACCACTTCTATCCAATTGTGCTGCAGATTCTAGCAGTGTAGTCAGGCAAGGAAAAGAATTAAAGGCCTCCAGACTGGAAAGGAAGACATAAAACTGTCTTTATTTATAGACCACAGGTGATCTATGTAGTAAATTCAGTGAAATCTACAAAAAAGCTATTAGAACTAATAAGTAAGCTTAGCAACATTCAGGATATAAGATCAATATACAAATATCAATTATATTTCTATATGGCAACAAGCTATCAGAAATTAAAAATTTTAAAATAACAGTACCGTTTATAATACATATAAACATATAATATTACATATAATAAAAATATGAAATATTTAGGGATAAATCTGATGGAAGGTGTGAAAAAACTATAGCCTGAAAACTAGAATATAATGCTGAGAGGAAGTAAAGAAGACCTAAATAAATTGGAGAGCTATCTCTTGTTCATGGGTTGAAAAACTAACATTATTAAGATGTCAGTTCTCTTGGGCGCTGGGTGGCTCAATTAGTTAAGCGACTGCCTTCAGCTCAGGTCATGATCCCGGAGTCCCGGGATCGAGTGCCACATTGGGCTCCAGGCTTGGCAGGGAATCTGCTTCTCCCTCTGACCCTACCCTGTCTTGTGCTCTCTCTCTCAAATAAATAAATATAATCTTAAAAAAAAAAAAAAAGATGTCAGTTCTCTCCAAATTGACCTGTGATTCAACACAATCCAAACCAAAACTCCAAAGGCTTTTTCTGGGTAGAAGTTGACAAGCTAATTCTAAAATTCATATGGAAATGCAAATGACTTAAAATAGCCAAAACAACTCTGAAAAAGAAGAATAAAATTGGAAACTAACACTACCTGATTTGAAGAATGATTTTAAAGCTGCAGTAATCAAAACAACATGGTACTGGTGTAAAGACATACAGATACATCAGTTGAACAGAATAGAAAGTCTAGAAATAAATTCACATGCATATATGTTCATTTAACAAAGGCGCAAAGGCAGTGCAGTAAAGAAAGGATAACCTTCTCAACAAATAGTGCTGGAACAATTGGATATCCATATGCATAAACATGAACTTCAATCTACATCTCATACCACATGAAAAAATAACTCAAGTGAATCATAGACTTAACTGTAAAACTACAAAATAGGGGCGCCTAGGTGGCTCAGTCGTTGGGCGTCTGCCTTCTGCTCAGGTCATGATCCCAGGGTCCTAGGATCCAGCCCCACGTCAGGCTCCCTGCTCATCGGAGAGCCTCTTCCTCTCCCTCTGATCCTTCTCCCCGCTTGTGCTCTCTCTCTGTCTCAAATAAATAAATAAAATCTTTAAAAATAAATAAATAAAATCACTGTGTAATCTAATACTGAAGTAAATGCTCACTTTGTACAATTAAGTACTTCTGATGCCAGTTGTCAGTAGACACATAACTATTTTCTATATTTTTAAAACACTTATTACACTGCTTTGAAACATTTACATTTTAGAAAATATACATGCATACATAAATATGCACTGTATTCATATATACACAGTGAAGTTTCTCTTTCCATTCCCCCTCGTTTCTACATGCCCCCACCAAACAGGTAATCACTGTCACTGGTTTCTCATGTGTCTTTCTAAATTTTCTTTATATCTATTCAAGCAGGCACAAGCGTGGATTCTTATTTTTATACATTTTTTTTTTACTCCAAAGGCAGCATTTTATAATAATCTTCTGCACTTCACTTTTTCATATAGTTATCTCTTAGAAATCTTGCCAAATCAATAAAGAGCTTCCTCATTATGTTTTTTTTTTTTAAAGATTTTATTTATTTATTTGAGAGAGAGAATGAGATAGAGAGAGAGCATGAGAGGGGGGAGGGTCAGAGAGAGAAGCAGACTCCCTGCTGAGCAGGGAGCCCGACTTGGGACTCGATCCCGGGACTCCAGGATCATGACCTGAGCCGAAGGCAGTCGCTTAACCAACTGAGCCACCCAGGCACCCTTCCTCATTATGTTTTACTGTTGCATACTGTCACACTGTGTGCATGTGCCATAATTTATTTACCCTATGCCCTATTGATGGGCATTTATATTGTTTTTAAACAATGCAACAATGAATAACCTCCACATGTATTATTTCTCACATGTACATAAATACCCAGGAATTTCTGGATCAAACATGTCTTCATTTATAATTCCTATAAATGCTGTAAATTACTCTTCATAGAATTCTACCAGAAGATGTGTGTCAGTTTGTATTTCCACAGAGGCGTCACTAACAAAGTTTATTTTTGAACTTTTGGATTTTGTCAATCTGACAGGTGAAAAATAATATCTGAGTGTAGTTTTAATCTGCATTTTCCTTGTTGACATTGAGCATCTTTGCATTTGTTTAAAAACTATTTGCATCTTGTTTCTATGAACTCTTAAGTTCCTTTACCTTGACTTGTTTGTCATAGTTTGGGTTCTGCTGGAATCAGAGCCCAAAGGAAGGATTTGGGCGTGCGTAGTTTATTTGGGAAGTGAGCTCTGCAAGCAGGAATAAGCCAAAAAAGAGTGTGTTTTAACCAGGAGGACTTGAATCTACCAGGTTCTCTAAGAAGCATGCAGAATGCCTCCCAGAATTATCCTTCCAAAGAATGGAAAGCTAGGACATTTATTCTTAGTCCTGCATTAGTTGACGGCTGCCCCAGAGTTGTTACACTTCCTCACACTTTTGGACCACACACAGGGCTAAGATCTTGATGGCCTTGAAGAAGGCCCTGAGATAAAAAGCTCAAAGAAGCTAGATATGAGCTTGAAGTAAGATGCTGCCCCTAGGAATCTGACCTTACACAAAACCGTCCACCATAGCTCCTGCTGAAATCAAAGATGGGCCAAAGTGGTATGGGGCAACAAAGGATCTCCAACAGTAATCTTTTCTCTTAGTGACTTCTGTTGACAGGAACATAGTGTAATAGTGAGTTATAAATATTATCCCTGGTTTATAATTTTTCTTTTAGTGTTTTTAAAATAACAGCTTTATTGAAATATAATTCACATATCTTACAATCTATGCATTAAAAGTGTACAATTAATGTTTTTTAGTATACTCACAGAATTGTGCAACCATCACCACATAAACTTCAGAACATTCACATCACTCCAAGAGAAACCGTGTATCCATTATCAGTCACTGTCAATTTCAGCCCTCTGCTCCCAGCCCCTGGGAACTACAAATATACTTTCTATTTCTATGAATTTATCTATTCTGGCATTTCATATAAGTGGAATCATACAACATATGGCCTTTTGTGACTGGTCTCTTTTATCTGGCATATTGTTTTTAAGGTTCATCCATGTTGTAGTATATAGCAGTACTTCATTCCTTTTTACTGCTGAACAGAATCCCATTTTATGCATATACCACATTTTATTTATCCATTTATCAGTTTATAGACATTTGGGTTGTTTCCACTTTGGGGCTATTTGGAATAATGCTGCTGTGAACATTTGTGTATAGATTTTTGTGTGGAAATATGTTTTCACTTATTTCTCATTTCATACCTATGAATGGAATTGCTGGGTCATATGATAACTATATATATCCATTTGAGGAACTATTTTCCCAAGTGACTGTACCATTTTACATTCTTACCAGCAATGTGTGAGGGTTCCAATTTCTCCATATCCTCACCAACACTCTTCGTTGTCTGTCTTTTTTAAAAATTTTAGACATTCTAGTGGGCATTTAGTAATATCTCATTGTGGTTTTGATTTGTATTTCTCCAGTGGCTAATGATGAGCATTTTTTCATGTGCTTATTGGTCATTTGTACATCTTCTTTGAAGAAATGTCTATAGAAATCATTTGCCCATTTTTCAGTTGCGTTATTTATCTTTCTATTTTGAGTTGTAAGGGTTCTTTATATGTACTGGATAAAAGTCCTTTATCAAATATATGAGTTGCAAATATTTTTCCCACTCTAAGTGTTGCTATACCTTCACACGGCCCTTCCTCTGTGTGCGCGCTTCCCTGGTTTCTCTTCCTCTTCTTCTTTTTTTTTTTTTTTAAGATTTTATTTATTTATTTGTCAGAGAGATAGAGAGCACAAGCAGGGGGAGTGGCAGGCAGAGGGAGAGGGAGAAGCAGGCTCCCCGCTGAGCAGGGAGCCCGATGTGGGACTCGATTCCAGGACCCTGAGATCATGACCTGAGCCAAAGGCAGTCGCTTAACCGACTGAGCCACCCAGGTGCCCTCTCTTCCTCTTCGTATGAGAACACCAGTCAGGGGCACCTGGGTGGCTCAGTCGGTTAAGCATCTATCTTCAACTCAGGTCATGATGTTAGGGTGTTGGGATCGAGTCCCATGTCAGGCTCTCTGCTCAGTGGGGAATCTGTTTCTCCCTCTCCCTCTCCTTCTGTCCTCTCTCTCTTGCAAATGAGTAAGTAAAAATCTTTAAAAAAAAACAAAACACCAGTCAGATTAACACCCCACACTTATGACCTCATTTAACCTTAATTACCTCTTTAAAGACCCTATCTCCAAATACTGTCACATTCTAAGGTACTAGGCATTAGGGCTTAAAAATAGTTTTGCTAAGCTGGGGTGGGGTAGTGGGGAATGGACACAATTCAGTCCATAATAATGGCATACAGTTGTTCACAGTATTCCTTCATAACTTTTTTTAGAAGTAAAGCTGCCAGTGATGCCCTCTTGTTCATTTTTTATTTTAGTAATTTGCATCTTTTCTCTTTTTTTCTTGGGCAGTCTAGCTAAAAGTTTAATTTCATTAATCTACTCAAAGAACAAACTTGGTTTTGTTGATTGTTGCTATTGTTTCTGTATTCCCTATTCATTCATTTCTGCTGTAGTCTTTATTATTTCCTTTCTTCTGCTTATTTTGGATTTAGTTTGCTCTTTTTCTAGTTTTTTAAGGTAGAGTTTAATTATTTATTTGAGATCTTTCTTCTGTTTTCATATAGGCACTTACAGCCATAAATTTCCCTCTGAACACTTTAACAGTATCTCATAAGTTTCCATACATTGTGTTTTCATTTTCATTTATCTTAAAGTGATATCTAATTTCCCTTGTGATTTCTTCTTTGACCTATTGGTTATTTA